TCCCTTTAAGGACAATTGGGCCAGGACGCCAGTGGCTCATGCCTGTAATCCCAACACTTTGGGAGGCTGAGGTGGGTGGATTACCAAGGTCAGGAGTTCGAGGCCAACCTGGCCAGAATGGTGAAACCCCATTTCTACTAAAAATACAAAAATTAGCCAGGTATGGTGCCCATGCCTGTAATTCCAGTTACTCAAGAGGCTGAGGCAGGAGGATCGCTTGAACCTGGGAGGTGGAGGTTGCAGTGAGCCGAGATTGTGCCATTGACCTCCAGCCTGGGCAACAGAGCGAGACCCTGTCTCCAAACAAACAAACAAACAAACCAAAGACAATTGGGGGCTTTTGAGCTGGGAAATGATGTGACCAGATCTTAGTTTCAGGCGGGGTGTGAAGAGTAGTTAGGAGAAGAGAGACAGGAAAGGCAAGAGAGAGTTGTGGAGTTATTTTACAATAGTTTAGGTCAGAGGTAATGAGTTAGGGGATTGTAGCAATGAGAATTTAGAAAGGAATAGATACAATGATTCAAGGTAGAGGTATTGACAATGGATTCAAACCTTAAAACAAAAATGCTAACCTAGATTCTGAGCAGGGCCACTAGTAACAACTGTGTCCACAGTGTAACCTAATTATTGTAGATGTGTGTATGTCTAGCATTGGGGTATTCCATAGGAATAGGCCAGAGAAACCTCAACTCACTAGACAGTGCTTTAATTTTAGGAGTAGCCACAATACTCTCTTGCTGAGTGTTAGAAGCTGTTTGCTGCATAAAGGCCTGAAGATATCGTTCATATAGAGAAAGAGGGGAGGAGGAAACTAAAGAGCAAAAGGAAAGTCTTGTAGGAAGCAGGAAACCAAGAACAGAATATGCTGTGGGGGCCGTAAGACTCAGCCCTTTCAGCTCCTTTCAGGGATGAATGTTTGCAGTTACAGGCTGCCTTGTCCTTTACACCTTTTGTCTTTTTTCCAGAATAAGATGAAAGATACATGTCAAGCAAAGAAGGATTTGGACTTCTAACTGCTAGTCTTGTTCATGAAACTTCTTAAGGACAATGATTGCATCTTTGCATGCTTTACACATAGTGGGTGTTTACATACATCAATAGAATTCATGTAATTGTCATTAATTCCCATTTTACTGAGTGTTTTTTGCTCATGTAGAGAGTCTAGATAAGGAAGCAATCAGTATGACGCTAGATGCAGCATCACATACTGGCAAGTAAGAGGGGAGCTGCCATTTGTGTGTGATCTGCAGCCCGGGGAAGGAATGGAAGGGCACTGCCTGGGGGCAGCTAGTCTGCTTAAAAGGTGTTGCAGGTCCAGCATCCTTGATGAGCACTTGGGACCTCTTTCTGCCCATTTTCATTATTTGGTCCCTCAGTTTCCCTTCCTCTTTCCTACTATAGGCAGTGTTTGATTTTTAAATGTGGCTTAGTTCTTATGTTTTCCCCTTGGGTGCTTCTAGAGTACTTTACTCGTATCCATGGATCCCTTTGTAGTTTTTGGTCTTGTTACACTAATTTCTTTGGACCTCAGGATTTTATCTTTTTTTAAACTAGGAAGGTTACCTACGTAAGGGTGACACTTTTCAATTCTAAATTTGTTTCCAACTGAAAAGAATGACTTCCATTGACATCTCTATGTGTTGTTGCTATGATCTGCAGGCTTATCCATAGACCATAAGCAACATGGGAATAGCCACAGTGCTGATCAGTACTGTCATATGGAAACGGAGGGCACATCAGTGAGAGATTCTAGTAGATGCCAATTAGATATAGTCACTCAACCCCAAAGCTCCCTGATGCGGGGGAAAAAACATGTCTTTATAATTCAGGAAACTTTCTTAGTATGTGGTACCTGTTGAGGTCAACCTGGGCCATTAGTCACAAAGAAAAAAGAGGAGTTAATGAGAGTATCAAGCAAATGCCCCAAAGCAATAACCAAAGCCTGATGTAGTGTCAATCTTCTATCCCCTGAATGCTCTGTCAGTTTCCAGTAGCCTGAGTTTGGCCTCCCTCCCAGTGCTGACCTAGTCTGGGGCAGAGTGACTTCGTCATTCCATTCCCAGGCCTCTCCTCATTGCCTGAGCTAAAGTGTTAGTAGTCTTAAGTACACGCTTCCTCCAAGCCTGGGGTGTGTCACCTGTGAGGTGGAGATGAAGCTGACCCACCAGACCTGCATTCCAATTAGGTAAGGTAGCACTTGCTCTCTTCACAGCCTAAGGAACTGGCTTCTTTTCTTTACCTATTTGTTGCTAGGCCTGTAATGGCCTTAGAAGCCCATTCTTACATCCTCAGGGGATTTGTCAGGACCAGACTAGAAACACACCCAATCTTGCCAAGGGCCCTTTTTTAATCTCTTAACCCAGCTCTCCTGGGAACTGTTACTTGCAATAATTGGGAGCTGATAAGTCTTATTTACAATAAAGTACCTCCAGTGATTTTAGGGCCTGGAGGCAGAGATTTTCTTCTTAGGAGTTCTCCTAATGCCTAATTCTAGGAACACTTTAGGGAGTGCAGGAAGGTAAGATGGTGTCACTAAACTCTTCTCTTTTGACATTTTTATTATTGCGAAGTGTTTTTGATTAATTGATTAAGTGGTTCACTTATGAGCAAATACTTGTGAAAATTAACAATTCAAGGCAATTGCTAAATTCTGGTTGATTGATAAAGACATTTATAGTTTAGGATTTAACATGAAGTATTTAAAAGGAGGTGATACAGATTGGGTCTTGAACTCTATCCAGAGAGAAAACTTAGAGACAAGGGAGACAGTTGGGTGGTAACACAGTGGTTTGCTGGAGTTAGCTCAAGCTGTCTCTTACTGACTTGCTAGAGCTGATTGCACATTTCCTAGCTCCTTGTTCAGCAACATCATATTGGTAGCATGAAATTATCAGTGGTAGAAATATTTGCACCATGAACATTAGTAACTGCTGGCTGGGCGTGGTGGCTCACTCCTGTAATCCCAGCACTTTGGGAGGCCAAGGCGGGCAGATCACCTGAGGTCACGAGTTCAAGACCAGCCTGGCCAACATGGTGAAACCCCGTCTCTACTAAAAATACAAAATTAGCTGGGTATGGTGGTGGGTGCCTGTAATCCCAGCTGCTCAGGAGGCTGAGGCAGGAGAAGCTTGAACCCAGAAAGCAGAGGTTGCAGTGAGCCAAGATTGCACCACTGCACTCCAGCCAGGGCGACAAGACGAGACTCTGTCTCAAAAAAAAAAAAAAAAAAAAAAAGAAAAGAAAAGAAAAAGAAAATTAGTAAATGCTACAAATCAGGGCTTTTTCACCCTGGAGAACTGGTTGTTAATATTTACTAGCACATCACTGGTGGTCAAGGAAGTAGAACACAAATGTAGAAATGGAAGTGTAGAAATGGAGTTAAGACCACGCTGGGCTCCCTCTTACAAAGGAGATTAAGGAATTTTCAGTTTATCCACAGACATTGAGGTATTGTTGATGACATTTTATTAGTTGAGATTATTTTGGTTATAAGTAATAGAAAAACTAAACTTGAAATGGCTCAAAAATTAAGAAAGATGCATTTATCTCATATAACAAGAATTTCAAGTTGGACCAGTCTGGGATTGGTTAATTCAGCAGGGTACCGAAGACCCAGATTCTTCTAATATTTTTGCTCTGTCATCCTTAGCATGTCAGTCTGGCCTCTGACCAGCACAACATTTCCAAATCCAACTTTCAGCAGCAGAGGAAAATAATTTATTCTTTCTTTTCATCTCTTTGTAAGAGCAAAGAAGTCTTTCCCAAAAGGCCTCCAGCAGATTTTCTCACATCTCGCATTGGTCAGAACTCTATCACATGCATAGATCAAGCACTGGCAAGGGGAATGGAGCCCCATGATCCATTAGTGTTTCACCCGTGTTCCTCCCACTCAGCCCCCACCCCCTACACTGAGGCTAATCTCCCTTGAAGCTGTGTACAGCAGGCTGGTTACCTGAACCTAATCAAGGTTCTGTAGGCATGGAGGAAGAAGGAGGGTGGACATTGGTTAAGCAACCAACATGGTTGCTAGAGTTTTTGAAAAGAGAGAAAACATCCATGATATAATTTAGGAAGTGGCCGGGCATGGTGGCTCACGCTTGTAATCTGAGCACTTTGGGATGCCGAGGCAGGTGGATCACTTGAGGTCAGGAGTTCAAGACCAGCCTGGCCAACATCTCTACTAAAAATACAAAAATTACCTGTGCGTGGTGGCACATGCCTGTAATCCCAGGTACTCCGGAGGCTGAGGCACGAGAATTGCTTGAACCCGGGAGGCAGAGGTTGCAGTGAGCCGAGATTGCACCACTGCACTCCAGCCTGGGTGACAGAGCCAGACTCTATCTCAAAAAAAAAAAAAGAGAGAGAAAGAAAAGAATTAAGGAACCATAATCTTAGCAATGGTGTGCAAGCAGATAGAGGGCCTGGGATTAGGGAGGCTCAGCTATACTATTACAAGGTACTAAATATGAAATAACAATCTGCCAAAACAATGCTTTCAATTGTCAATTGGCTGCCAATTCATTCATTCATTCATTCATTCATTCACTTAATAGATATTTAATAAATGACTGTCGTGGGTCAGATACTATGCTAGGTACTATATATAAAATGGTAAACTTAGCTAATGGAGCTTCAGAATCTAATGGGTGAAGCAAATATCAATCAAATAATCCACAAGTAAATGTAAATGTTTAACCTGGTTAAATGTTATCAAGAAACCCTAGATTTTTTTTTTTAATTGAGGTAAAATTCACATATAGTAATCTTAGGTATACAATTTGATGTCTGTGTGTAACAGCCATCCTGATCAAGACACAGAACATTCTCATCACCTCAGAAAGTTCCCTCATGTCCCTTCCTATTTGATCTTCACCTCCCCCTAATAGGTAACCACAGTTCTGATTTTTATCTTCAGTATTATGTTTGCCTGTTCTTGAATTTCACGTAAGTCGCTTTTTTTTGCACCACAAATGAGTCCAAGATTCATTCATATTGTTGTGTTTAACGATCATTCATGTTTTAAAATTGTACTCCATTGTAAGAACAATATAAGCAACAAATTTTCTGTTGGTGAACATTTGAAGTGTTTCTAGTTTGGAGCTATTATGAATAAACCTGTAATGAAATGAACATTCACATATAAGTTTTTTGTGTATACATATATTTCATTTCTATTGGGTAAATTCCTAGGGAGTGGAATTACTAGGTTATAGGGTAGGAATGTGTTTAACCTTATGAAACTTCTCCCTCACCTGGCTTTTTTTTTTTTTTTTTTTTTTTTTTTTTTTTTGAGACACATCTCGCTCTGTCACCCAGGCTGGAGTGGTGCAGTGGTGCAATCATGGTTCCCTGAGCCTCAGTCTCCCAGACTCAAGTGATCCTCCCACTTTAGCCTCCCTAGTAGCTGGGACCACAGGCATGCACCACCATACCTGACTAATTTTTTTATTTTTATAGAAATGGGATCTCCCTATATTGCCCAGGCTGGTCTCAAACTCCTGGGCTCAAGCCATTCTCCTGCCTTGGCCTCCCAAAGTGCTGGGATTTCAGGCAGGATCCACCATGCCTGGTTAAGCCCTAGATATATTTTTAAAAAAATTATAGATTCATGGTCTTCAGTTCCAAGAAAGAATTCTGAGTCAGTCTGAGGTTCCTAGGCATGTATAATATGTAGTTTTTAAAAACTCCCCAGAACCAATGGTCTAAATTATATTGGTGGCGGTGGAAAGGAAGTTATTTTAGTCTAGTTTTCTTTTCCACCACAAAAGCATATAAATGTAAATAATTTTTTTCCCTGCCCAGCTACAAGCTTTCTCTGAACATTTTCCCCAACTCTAGCCATTAGCCCCAGTATTGAAATAGTCTCTCTTTTTAGTTTCTCTGGCGAAATGCAAAGCTCTGGTTTTTCTGCTCTTGCTTAAAGTGATATAAAAGCTCAGGGAGCTCCTTGAAGCAGCCCTTAGAATTGCTAAGATGACTAAAAAAGAAAACAAAAAACCCCCTGATCTCTAGGGTGGAAAATAACTTTGGACAGAATAACAGTTGAGGGTGTGTGGCCCTGTGTACACTGGTAGGATTTTCTCTGGTGCTTTTACCTTTTTTCCGCTTACTATTCTACCTAGCAGCAAAAAATAGTCAACTGTGTTCTGGCTGCTGCCAACGTCTATGTTAAACAACTGTCTCTGAGTATCCAACCTAGTACCAGCCTAAATGGCTGTATATCACTAGAGAAGAAGCCTCTAGTTTCTAGGCAGAGAAACCGACACATAGGAATGGGAAGGGAGTCACTTAATGGATTAGGGGCTGGTTTGGCTAGGACCAGAACCCAGGTGGCCTGGCTCCCAGCCCAGCTGACCACACTGCTATCCACACAGCTTGGGCTGACCAAAGACAAGCAGCCCATTGAGCAACTGCACAAACAACAATGAATGATGGATGGTCAGAGCAAGAAACAGGCACAAAGCAACTGCGACCCCATCACTTCCTGGCCCCTAAATTTCCAGGCAAGCCTATAAAGTGTGGTCACTTAAATGACTTTGACCAGCAACTTGGCCCAGATTTCAAATCTGGAGACTTTTTATGGTCACTGCCAAAAGAAAAAGTCTATCTTATATTGAGGGTAGAGTGCCTTTGAGCTCCATGTCTCGTTCTATTAAGTCTGTGGCAGTGGCATTAAGACTAGAAAGACATATTTATATGGGTATGACCTGGTTCTGGACAACTGTGGTGAAACAAGGCAACTTTCAGATTCTGAGGCTCCTCTTCTACAGATCTGTGCTCCCACGTCAGATTTAACTAGCAAAGGGTAGGTGTGGTCAGTGATTGTTGTCACAATCATTCCAGAATGCTTGTGTAGAGTTACTAGAATTTCAGTCATTTCGTTCTAAAGTATTTTCATCCCTCTCACCTTTCCAGAACAACACCCCTTTCAGCTCCTTTTCAACTGCTGTAGCCAACTGATTCTACCCCAGGGTCCCAAGCATCCACCCCATACCCCTCCAGTTCAGTTCAGTTAGAGTTCAGTTAGAGTCAATTTAGGTGACCAAATCTCATCCTGCTCTCCTCCTTAAATTTGCCACTAAACGGTAGCTAAAATTTGTGGTCCCTATATGCTTGAAGCCCAGGCCAAATGGCTTTACTTGTCACTCTGTATTGTACGTCTTGGATATGCCCCCATGCAAGGCACTCTGACTGGTTTGGCCTTAGTATGTATGGATGGCCTTGGGCCCAGCCCTGAATTTTCAATTCTAAACGCAGGTGTATCCCTAAGAGATATAGCTGTCTAGGAAATTTCCCTGTTTCAGGTGTCGGTTTCCTATTCTGAGCTAGACAATTCTAAAATGTCTATGCCCTATGCCTCCCCTTTAGAAACTGAGGAAGAAGTGAGGGGAAAAAAACGTTGACTGGACTATTTGTTTTTACATAGGCATAACGGGCACAATTAGACAATAAGCATTATTTTGAATATGCAGACCAGGTTCTACAATGTTAGGAATCTGAATTAAAATTTCAGATGTCTTTGGTTAGAGTATAGCCGGGGCTGGCATCGTTTTGTGTTTGTCATAAAGAGGTATTTATTAAATGGCCTTTCTTTCTTGAAACAGTCCACACAGGCCTAATACTTATTCATTCATTCAACAAATATGGAAGGTCTACTATGTGGCAGGGATGGCTTATTATGTTCTCATAGCCATAGCTCATTGTCACTCATGTAGGACATATACAAGTTCTGCTACATATAATATAGTTTTATGTATTTTACTAAATTGTAAAACCTTTGATGTCTGGGATTATATCTTGTTAAATTTTGTATCCCCCTGTATCACTGAGCACAGTGATACACATCACAGGGATACAATACATGTTTGAATTATGCCACGTTTTAAAAGACATAACAAACGCACTATTTAACTTTTTTTTACTGTTAGCAGTCTAAAGCAGATGTACCAACAGGGTATCACTGTTATGCAAGTAAATAAATACTAAGTGTTTACAGAGAAGGGTATGTTCACTTCAAGAGTGAAGGAACAAGAGAAATCCATACTTGGGTGGAGACTGGTCTGGAAGCTAATTTTCCTCCGGTCAATCCAGAATAATTGTGTAGACTTACCAGAATTTCAGTCCTTTCATTCTGAAGTATTTACATCCCTCTCACCTTTCTACAACTACTCCACCCCTTTCAGCTCCTTCCTAACAGCTGTAGCCAACTGATTCTACCCCAGAGTCCTAAGAGTCCACTCTGTACTCCTCTAGCTCCGGTTCAAGAATGCTCCAGACCAGGCGCTTTAGGGACGCGGGTCAGGAAAACACGGGGTCACGCGCGGGGCAAGCGCCAAACTGGCCGCAGCCTGGGGAGCGGCGCTAAAGGCGGGGCTGCGACGGGGCGGAGCGGGAGGAGGCCTGGGGGCGGCCTGGGTGTCACCACCAACCCGCTCCGGCCGGAAACTGGCGCCTGTTTCCGGCCGGACAGCCGAAAGCCACCGATCCTGAACCAGCCGCCGGAGTCGGAGTGGCGACCGGGGTGTGGAGCGGGCAAAAAGCCACTGGGGGAGGCCAGTCCCGATCAGTGCCTTCTGGCTCCAGCTCCAGATCCTGTGCGGAGCAACAGCTGCGGTCGCCGTCTCCACCACCGCCTCCGCCTCCATCGCCGTCGGGGGAGGGGCCGGCCGGACCCCGGGGTCACTGCCGAGGAATGAGGAGAGGCGGTCGGGCCCCGCGCTCCGCCCCGGCCTAGGGCCTTGCCCCGGGAGCCGCGAGGGTAACGGAGCCCCCAGCCCTGACACCGTTCCCCGTCTGCTCCCGCCCCTCCCGGCCCCTCAGACTCGCAAACTCTGCTCCTCAGATCGCCACTGTCCCCTTTCTCCTTTCTGATTCTGTTTCACCCGAAGCCATCTCCCCTCGGCACTCCTTTCTCGCCCTGACTGCTCCTTGCTTCGTCCCAACCTTTCCTCCTTCCTTTCACCTGCGTCCTGCGTTCCTACCCCGCGCTCTCCAGCTCCCGGCCTCCCTTCCTGAGCTGTGCTGGGCAGTTTGGACGGTCCCCCCCTTGTCAGCTAGACTTTCGGGAGGGATGGTGGAGTTTTAAGGTGATTAAGATGCAGTCTATTACCCCCACAGTAGGATAAAGTTCATTTAAAGTCTCAATATGAAACTAAAATGAAAAGCAAACAAGCTAATTCTCCCTATTGATAACCTCCCTAAGGTGCATACAGTAATGGAGGAAAGGCGAGAAAAAGGTGTGTGTGTATGTGTGAGAGAGAGACGGAGGTTGACGGATTCTAGGGCAATCTTAAGTAAGAACTTTAGGAAAAAGAAAAGTTGCTATGAGCCGATGGAAACTTTAGAAGCTGATGATGAGTAAGTAAGCCGGGGGCTGCGTGATCTCACTCTTCTCATAATTACTAGGTTAACGGTGTGGCTCCGGTCGGGATGGAATGGGATTTGTTTACTGGGCCGGCGTATTTTTAGCTTGTCGGCTCACAAGGTCCAGCGCTCAGAGTCTCTCTCTCCCTCCTCGTGGTAGTCTTTCTGTCTAACCTAGGTGGCTTCTCTGGGCACAATACAGCTGTACAAATTTGAAAGTAGAAACTGACTGGTGGAATTTTATGGAAGAAGTTCCCCACAAACTTTTCAGGCAGCTTTTCATGAATGCAAAGCCAAGAATTAGCAGGACGTTGCCTTTTATTTTCCTTATCTTTTTATACGTACTACGTAACTCTTTACTTAGAAATTCACAGGCTGCTAATTTTTCAGTCTTTGGCCTCTAGTACTGTATATTTAGGAGATTTTTTAGGAGGCTGGATCCCTTTGTCTTTCAGAATCTATTTCAAAGGTGGAAAAGGACAGAGTAGAGAAAGAGGTGGCGTTAAGACTGGCTCCAAAGAGTTGCTAACCCCTAAATATTTAAAAAACAGTTTCTGTGCTATGTAACTTCTGAAAACATTTGGAAAATTTTCTTCCTCCTAAATGAGATTGCATTCCTGATGGGGAGAAGACTTCAGGGACAGAAGCTGGGTGGCTAGGGAGAATCGGAGGTAGTTAAGTATTTGCCGTGTATAACTTACAAATACATTATGCGCAAACAATGAATTAATTATACTCTTTGTCTTCATTGTTTTTCAAGTAGTTCTTTTAACGTTTAGTAACCAACTTGCTGTGCTAGTCTACTGGTATTTTGAAGGCTGAACAAAACTGTGAAATAAATGAACTTGATGTTGCTCCTCTGCAGGCTGAATACCGGACCGTTCTAATTTCCGCTATTGACCCAGCTTGCCTCAGAGCACCTCCTTGACAAAGTGGCCAGTTACTATGTACTTAGAGATTGCAAATGAATGCAAGTATTAGCTCACAATAGGCATAATTAAGAAGGTAAATATGCTGAAAACATATATTCCAAAACCAAAATAGATTTTTTCGATTTTACCCCCATTTTTGATTATCAGCACCTTTCTGCCAATAATTATACGTTAACATGCATAATTTAGAATTGAACAGGTATCTGCTTTGGACATTACACTTTCAAGATAGAAGGAAAGATGGAAGGAAGATAGTTTCCAAACTAATTTTTTATTGTCGTTGCCTTATTTGACTTATTCCTTGCCTTTAATACCGAAGACTCCCTCAGAAAAAAAAATGTAAAACTTTGCCAAAGCAAGAGCTTGCTATCTGCTGACTTGCATAAGGCAGGGTAACTGGTAATGAATGCTAATCCTTAGGTGGCCTTTAGTGGCCTTATGTTGCCAGCAACTTGGAAAATTTCCTAAAGCTTTGTTTAATCTTTCTTTTGAGACCCCTATTTAAAAAAAGATTTAATTTGGAGATGAAAATCTAATTTTTAAAAACCACATACACCTTTCCCAGAATCTGCTGATGATCAATAATTGTTTTGATCTGTGTGAGTTGATTGGTGCCAATATTAGTGATGGTATCTGGGTAAATTCTATTTATATCTGCATTTGGCAACTCTCCTAAGTTGAACTGCATACTTTATTCCAGGGCATGGGGATCAAAGGGGTTGAAGGAGCCTAGGAATGAGTGGAGAGCTGCCTGGTAGTCCACCACTATTTCTAGTTCTCAGAAGGCTTTATTTGCAATTTTGAGATTCAATGTATGTAACCAAAATAAGTATTCTGATTGTTATGAGGGCACTAAGTGCCACTTGTCAAAGTTTTGGAGCTCTTGAATATCTTAAGCATGCTAAAGACACTGGCCATTATAGTGCATATGTGTGTGTGTGTGTGTGTGTGTGTATGTGTGTATGAGTAGCCCTCTCCTTACCCTAAACACTCATCCCACCAAAGGGAAAATCCTTAAACAGCGCTTTGAAATGTGACCTCAGCAGTGTCTTTCCTATGGAAACTTAGGAGCTGTGGAATAGCAGACTGTGGAATCTTTTTTGTAGCCTCTGATAAATTCAGGTAATTAAAAATTTGTGTAACTGGAAGACAGATACAGGGCAGTTTTTCTCATGAATGCCTGAATTCAGTTGACTTCTTAATATAATAGAAGGGAGTTGTTTGTTTGTTTTTAAATAAGCCATCCTTGCTGAGTAACGATTGAACACTGCTGTGGATAAAGCAGTCTCCATGCTCCAGTGACAGGCTTTAGGGAGGTATAAAAGATGTAAAGACATGTGTCCTTGCTCTTGGGGTTGAGGGTGGATGGGAAAGGTGGTATATAAATGGGAAGGCAGACTATTATAAGCTTTAACATTTAGGAAACAACATACAGACAAAAGCAAATTTAACGTGCTGATAAGTATGTAAGGGCTGAGAAGACTTGAAGTAACAAAGAAAGAATCAGTGAAATATATTAGGGGAGATTTCTGAGTCAATAAATTTTGAAATGGACTTGGGAGGCTATGGATGAGTCATAAAGAGGTATGGGCTATTGAGTTACATGGGTCTTTGTTCAGACCTTGGGTCTAGTTTTTACCATGTGACCTTGGACAAGTTAACTTCTCTTCCTTATCTGTAAAATGTGAGCATTCAAGTAAATGAAATAGTTATTGGGTTGGGAATAAAAGAAAAGAAAGGATCTTCCAAACAGAAAGTATAGAATGTACAGTGCGCAATGATGGTATGAATGACTAAGTTGTGAGTGGGGGGAATATATGAGAGTGACTGTAGAGAATGTGGGTTGGGCAAGTCATGGGTAGAGCAGGCAAGAGGGTGGAGGGGACTCAGAAGCCAGACTCTGTTGGGTGTTGATATAAGGGTCAATAGAATCATTGTAGGTCCTTGAACAAAGGACGGATTTAATGAGAAATATTGAGCTCTTTGGTTTAGGGACTCAGGGACAAGGAGTCAGGCAGGCATCCATACATTGTGACTCTTATTTTCTTTACCATCCTGGCCTGAAGGGATACAGCCAGGAGGCCTAAGATTCCTTGTGGAAGTTGTTGTGTTTACACACCTTACTATGCTGAGCCTGCTTGTGCCTGTCTCATAGTGCACCATCCTGTGGGGAAGTCTCAAGACTATGGCCGGATTCTCCTCAAGAGCTTATAGTAAGGACAGCATTATGTTTCAAGTGCATTTAACTCTCAGTTATCTCTGCTAATGTAGGGAGCACTGTTGTAGGTAATTCAGAACTTAATAAAGACATTTCTTGGTTATTTTCAACTGTGTTTTTTTAGGATTATATCTTATCCCTTTATTTCCTCTAAGACATAGTTTTAGATAAGAAGAATTACTAAACTGTTATTTGTAGTGACCCACTATGAGTTTAATTCTTTGCTAGGTGCTATGGAGGACTAGGAAAAATGACAACTTTGTGCTCTTGAAAATACATTTTTTTTTTTGAGTCAGAGTCTCGCTCAGTTGCCCAGGCTGGAGTGCAGTGGCGCGATCTCAGCTCACTGCAAGCTCCACCTCCCGGGTTCACGCCATTTTCCTGCCTCAGCCTCCCAAGTAGCTGGGACTACAGGCGCCTGCCGCCACGCCTGGCTAATTTTTTTGCATTTTTAGTAGAGACGGGGTTTCACCATTTTAGCCAGGATGGTCTTGATCTCCTGACCTTGTGATCCACCTGCCTCGGCCTCCCAAAGTGCTGGGATTACAGGCGTGAGCCACCGCGCCCGGCCAATACATTATTTTTTAAACCAGATTTATTTTCATTTTTTGGGGATCATACTGATATTGAAATAAATTTGCATTTCTAAGCTTGTATTACCTGATGGCCAGGAGAGTACACTGATGATGATGAACAGTCAATCTTGTATTAAAGGTTTGGCCTTAGAACTCCATAAAATGAATAATCCATTTGTGGATAATTAAGACTAGACTATACTGAATATGTTGATAGACCAATTTCTTTTCAAAATCTGTATGGATTCAATGTGGCCTCCTAGGCCGTCTGTCT